GCTTTTCCAGCAACTTTGTTTTTGTTCCTGATTTACAGCATCCGCAGTTCTTTTGGTTTTTATTAAGCCATTTAATCTGTTGGTTGCAGCTCTTTATCCTGCCTGATATTGTGATGTGTTTCAAATGGGCTTTTCTCTGTTGCCTTCAGTCACTGGCATGTTGACTACCACACGGCACTTCACTTTATTCTTCTGGAGTTGCTGTGTTGCACTGGACTGTCACCTACTCTTAAAAACTACAGCTAGGCATCCTGTGGGTAGGAACTCGATTTTGACTCTTCTGTCCATTTAGTTTTCAAGAAGTGGGGTGGGGGGGGTGACATTGGCTTTGGGGCCCTTTTCCATTGATCCCTCAGGATGAGTCAAGAGCTTGAGAAATTTTAGCTCATGAGGCCATAAGATGACGGAGCGGATGTAGGCCATTCAGCCCATCAAGTCTGTTCCATCATCCTCAAACCCATTTTCCTGCCTTTTCCCCACAACTCTTGAGTCCTTCATTGATTAAAAATCTGTCTGTCACAGCCTTGAATATACTTAACAACCCAGCCTCGACAGCCCTCTGGGGTAAAAAATTCCACAGATTCACTCCCCTTAGAAAAAACAAATTCCTCCTCATCTCTGTATTAAATGTGTGACCTCTTAGTTTGAGCGTAAGTCAGACTCTGGTCCTAGCCTCTCCCACAAGTGGAAACAAACTCTCCACATTTCCCCTGTCAAGTCCCCGTTAAGAATCTTGTATGTTTCGATAAGGTCCCGTATTGGGACAAAATTGGGACTAGACCATCATTTGCACTGCAGCGCTCAGTTTAAAGGAGGTATAAAGCTCACATTTGGTGTCATGGAACAATACGTAGCTCTTGAGGAGCAACAATGAACAGACAGATAGTATCCTCAAACACATGGAGATGTGTGATTGACTGATGGGACTGTTGTAGAGTTGGGTTCTGCCCTTTCATCCATGGGGAGCTTACGTTGGAGTCTAGGCAAAGCCTACAATTGGAGGTCATCTCAGCTCACTGGCTTCCAGGGTTCTGTGGTAAATGGGTTGGGCAGTCTGATCCTAGTTCCTGGTGAATGTGAGCACAACATTATAATTGATACCAAGTTGCCAATCTCACTTCAAGTTGCCATAAAGACTTCTGGGGTGTGGGGTGATGGAAAAAGAGAAGCAGTTAAGGTTTTTGAAGATTTAAACCCCTCTCCATCCCCTAAAACCCTCCCCCCTCCGAGAGATTGCCTCTTTGTCTCCAGGATTAAAGAGTCGCAAATAAAATTTTGCAAATGTACAGCTTTGAAATGGGCGAGTTTGGAGAGTTTGATTTGTTGAAAGTACTAGAGCAGTGAATACTGGTGATGCAAGGTCTAAAATGGAAAAACTATATCTCCCCCAGCACAAAATACCCATCTTTAGGAAGCACACAAAGCAAGTGTTTGACAAGAAGGGAAATATGATTGAGTCTGGTAGAGAACAATTTTAGACCATTTATCCTATAGGATTTTCATGTCAGTTCTAGAGTTAGCGTGGGTTTTTACACATCAACTTTAATGAAAAGTCTATAGTGGTTGAAAGAATGTTGTATATTTATTCATAAGATCTGGCATCAGTGGTAAGCTGAACATTTATTGCCCGTCCTTAATTGCTCCTGAGAAGCTGCTGTGAGCCATCTTCTTGAAGACAACCAAGTGGCTTGTGAGGCCATTTCAAGGGCAGTTAAGAGCTGACTGTGGGCCTGGAGTCACATGTAGACCAGCCTGGGTTAAGGACATCAGATTTCCTTCCCTAAAGGGCATTAGTGAACCTGTGGGGTTTTTACAAAAACTGATAATGGTTACAAGTTCGCCATTAGTATTGAATTCAAATTTCACCATCTGCTATGGTGGGATTCAAACAGTGTCCCCAGTACATTCGCCAGGGGCTCTGGATTTCTAGGGTCCAGTGACATTGACTACTGTGAACTGTACAGCATTGGAAGTGGAGCAGTACTATTGAAAAAGCAGGCCAGTGGGATGAATTGGGTAGTCCTTTCAAAGAGCTGGCACAGGCATGATGGACTGAATGGCCTCGTCTTCTGCTCTACCATTCTCTGACTGATGAGGATAGGGTGAAATGGTAATCTAATCATCCCTCCAATGCACCACATGAATGAAAGGGAAAGCTTTGGAACGTATATTATGGTGTTCCTGTTAATGACTGAACTTCATACCTTTGAGTACAGGGCAATTTCTTTAAAGCCCATGGTCATATTGGTACTCATACAGGATACACTATGATATTTGCATACAGTATGAAAGGCACAACAGTGTAGTTGGGCCCTAATGCCATACATCCAGTTGTGTTCACTCGACTCTGTTTAAATAAAGATTTATTTCAAACCACATTATTTGTAGAAACCCGGATTGTATTTCCAGCAGGTTCCAGACATCTGAATGCAATGCAAACTATCCCCAGTTCCAATGCCTAGAAAACAGAGAACATTTCTTTACCAAGCCAAGAAGAAACTGAGTAAAGCCACCAGCATTACCCTCTCTTTGAATTAAGACCAAAATAGCCTCCTTTACTGCAAATTTTGAAGATTGGATACAACAGCGAGAACCTATTTTGAGTGTTCAAGGAGGCCATTTTAACCAAAATTGCCCATCAGGATGAGATTGGGCGGAGCCCTGATTTTCCAATCTGCCTCATGCTGTTCTCCAATGGAGAAGAATATTATGTGGGGCTTTAAAAATGGATAATTTTCCAGATGCAGTGGATTTTCTGCCAGTGAGTTAGGGTAAAATTGAAGAATATTTTAGCCTGATGTCCTCTTGTAGTCTGATATTTGTGTTACTAACATGTGCTTATATACCTCAATGTGCTGGCTCAGGTAACTGCCAAATAGGTTCTGCATTCAATATAACTTTCGTTATAAAGAAGTCCTGAGAGATGCCTAACCAAGGGTTTTTAAAAACACGACTTTCTTGCCCCCATTGCATGAACCCTGTGTTTCTAAAACTCCGTTGATGCTAATTGTGCCACCAACTCTGTACACCGGTGTTTGTTTTAACTGCCTGTACTCCTTTCAGGATTTTCAGTAGACTCAGCGAAAGGCCTCACTCAGCAAGACGAGCTGAGTGTGGTCTCTGGGGCACCCAGAGCCAACCACACTGGCGCTGTGGTGATCCTGAAGAAAGAGGGCGTCAACAGACTGGCACCAGAGCACATTCTGTGGGGCGAGGAGCTGGGATCATCATACGGCTACGCAGTTGCCACGGTTGACCTCAACAGCGATGGGTAAGATAAAATCAGTTTTTCTTTCATCTCTCTCTCACTCAATGGTGTGTTCAGTGACATTTTATCTCCACTCCATCCCTCCAAGATTTCTGTGCACTCTAACTCTGGCCCATTTTCCAATTTTCATTTCTACACCATTGGAGGCTGTGCCTTCAACAGGCTAGGCCTAAGCTCTGGAATTCCTTCCCTAAACCTCTCTGTCCATCTCTCTCTTCCTTTAAGATGCTCCCTAAAGTCCCTTTCCTCTTTGACCAAGCCTTTGTGTGGCATACTGTCAAGTCTGGAAGGTAGGCAACAGGAACAGGTGTAAGCTGGATCACAGCTGGCCTTTTACCTCAATGCCATTTTTCTACACTCATCCTATTCTATCGATTGATCAATCTCTCTCTTGAATATACTCAATGACTGAGATTCCAGAGCTTTCTCTGGGGCAGAGAACTCCAAAAGATTCATAGCTATCTTATTCTGAGACTACGCCCATATTTCTAGACCCTCACCAGTTTTCTTTCCTGCATCTTCCCCGTCAAACTCTCTGACAGGTTTGTGTGTTTGAATGAGATCACCTCTCAGTTTTCCAAACTCAAGAGAATAAAGGCCTAGTCTCCTCAATCTACTCTCCATAGGACAGCCCCACTGTCCCAGGAACTAATCTGATGAACCTTCATTGCACTCCCTCTATGGCAAGTGCATTCATGTGTAGGATGTGGGCATTGCTGGCTGGGCCCAGCATTCCTTGCCCATCCCTAGTTGCCCCTTGAGAAGGTGGTGGTGAGCTGCCTTCTTGAACCGCTGCAGTCCTCCTGCTGTGGGTTGACCCACAATGGGAATTCCAGGATTTTGACCCAACCATCCTGTCTTAGGTAAGGAGACCAGAACTGTACACAACACTCCTGGTGTGGTCTCCCCAAGGCTCTGTAAAATTGTTGTCAGACAAATCTTTGCCCCTGTACTCAAAACCTCTTGTTCAAAGTAAAAGTCAATATGCCATTTCCTTTCCTGATTGTGACAACTGCTTTCAGTGACTTACAACCTTGTGAGAGGTGATCTTATTATAGGATCCCCTACAGTGTGGAAGCAGGCCATTCGGCCCATCGAAACCACACCAACCCTCTGAAAAGCATCCCACCCAGACCCGTCCCCTACCCTATCCCGGAATTTCCCACCCTGGACACTATGGGCAATTTAGCATGGCCAATCCACCTAGCCTGCACATCTTTGGACTGTGGGAGGAAACTGGAGAACCCGGAGGAAACCCACACAGACACGAGGAGAACATACAAACTCCACACAAACAGTCGCCCGAGGGTGGAATCAAACCCAGGTTCCGAGCGCTGTGAGGCAGCAGTGCTAACCACTGTGCCACCGTGCCACCCAAAAAGTCCTTGGGTCCTCCCTGGTGGGGAATTGACACGGTTTTCCATGTGAAAGGTGGGGATACTGACCACTACACTAGTGAGGACTTCCCAAATTGACAGATGTTAGATTCTAAGGGAAGCTGACAAAGTGAATTCAGAAGAGCATGTTACACCTCTTGGTGAAATGTAGAACTGGGGAATTAAAATAAGAGGTCTACCATTTACAAGAGACATGAGGTGGAATTTCTTCTCACCGAGAGGGTTGTAGATGTTTGGAATTGTCTGCCCCAGTGGAGGCTATGGTACTAAATATGTTCAAAGACTGAGTTAGACAGAGATAACACAGTGTGGAACTGGAGGAACACAGCAGGCCAGGCAGCATCAGAGGAGCAGGAAAGCTGACGTTTCAGGTCGGGACCCTTCTTCAGAAAATGCTCTTCTGATGCTGCCTGGCCTGTTGGTGTTCCTCCAGCTCCATTCTGTGTTCCTCTGTCTCTGACTCCAGCGTCGGCAGTTCTTACAATCTCTTCCTTCAGACTGTCACTGCTTAATCATCAGGAACAGTCACACACATTTCTTTTTAACTGGAGGTGCAGCAGAAGATCCAAGACTAAGGAGTTTCACGTAAAAAGTGGTGGTCATGCCTTTTTTGTTTGCTTTTTAGTTGCATTGTGAGAAATGAGGTTATGGCTGGTGGCAGGGTGAGGGTTGGGCACGGAACGTGGTTGGAGAGGGGGGCGCGAATGTGTTTGGTAGGGCACTGGCAGATGGCAAGATTAAAGTCGATTGGGTAAATTTGGACCTCGTTGCGCCCATTTTATAGGCATAATCTTGGGGACGGGTGTCATAAACTGTTAGACCCCTTATTTATAGACCTGTGCTTAACTTACATTTACACCCATCCCCCTCAGACAAGCTGCTGCCTGCACTGCCATCCCCAAGAAATTTCTTCTTGTTAAAATAGCAGAGATAGGGGCTCTCATAGTGCAGTGGTGGTGTCCCTACCTCGGACCCAGGAGTCCTGGGTTCAAGTCCCACCTGCTCCAGATGTGTGTAATAACATCTCTGAGCAGGTTGACTAGAAAAATCGAACTTGATGGAGTTATCTGTGGAATTGTGCCAGACCCTGGCAACTCACTCACATGATGTTAACAAGGTACAATTTTGAACTGACCTAGGGTCTCCTCTTGGTTGTGCTGCATGGTTCATACAGGGCGACCATTTTGGATGCTGCCTCAGAGGAGAAAATACAATACAAAGAAAGAACTGTAAAAATTGGGGCAGTTTTCATGAAAATCAAGAAGTTTCAGGATTTTTAATAGAAGTATTTAAAGTGATGAACTGATGACGCAAAGTCGATAGAAACAATTTCTTTCTGATAATTATGGGGAGGATTGTTGGAATTATAATAATATATAATAATTATAACAATATAAGGGACATCAGATAACAGAAACATTGAAAATAGGAGGCGTAGGCCATTTGGCCCTTGGAGCTAAAGCCACCATTCTATATGATCATGGCTGAACATCCAATTCAGCCCCCGTTCCCTCTTTCTCCCCAAAACCCTTTGATACCTTTAACCCTAAGAACTATATCCAAATCCTTCTTGAAAACATTCAGTGTTTTGGCCTCAACTGCTTTCTGTGACAGAGAATTCCACAGGCTCCCCACTCTCTGGGTAAAGACATTTCTCCTCATCTCAGTCCTCAATGGCCTACCCCTTATCCTTAGTCTGTGACCCCCTGGTTCTGGACTCCCTGGTCATCAGGAACATCCTTCCTGTGTTTACCTTGTCTAGTCCTGTTAGAATTTTATAGGTTTCTATGAGATTCCCCTTCATTTTTCTAAACTCCAGTGTATACAGTCCTATATGATTCGGTCTCCCTTCATACATCAGTCCTACCATCCCAGGAATCAGTCTGGTAAACCTTCACTGCACTCCCTCCATTGCCAGAACATCCTTCCTCAGGTAAGGAAACCAAAACTGCCCACAATACTCCAGGTGAGGTCTCACCAAGGCCCTGTACAATTGCAGCAAGACATCCCTGCTCCTGGACTCGAACCCTCTCACTATGAAGGCCAACAGACCATTTACCTGCTGTACCTGCAATGCTTACTTCCAGTGACTGGTGTACAAGGACACCCAGGTCTAACTGCACCTCCCCCCTTTCCCAATCTATCACTGTTCAGATAATAAGCTACTTTCCTGTTTTAGCTCCTAAAGTGGATCACCTCACGTTTATCCACATTATACTGCCTCTGCTGTGCACCTGCCCACTCACACAGCCTCTCACACTGAAGCATCTCTGCACCCTCCTCACAGATCCCCCTCCCCTTAACCCAGCCGCAAACCTGGAGAGAAGAAACCATTTCTCGCAGTTTGTTGTGAGCCTGTGGAATTCGCCAGTTGAGTCAGTGATTGAAGCAGAGGTCGGGTCAATAATTAATAACAGTTTCAACAGGAGAGTGAAGGAGAGACAAATAAAGAGCTATATGAACAGGATGAGCACATGGGATTATGACTTCCTCATCTTTGTTCAGTTCAGTGGCCTGTTTATATGTTGTCGTACCTGGGAGGTTCTCCGACAATTGACCGTAACTCGGAGTCTTGATGCATTGACTTGGGCAGCCTGTTCTCTTGCCCCAGCGGCTATTCCTGCCTTCACTTTTCCATCAGGACCCATATAGATATTCCATGCCATGACGACATTCTGTTGACCTTCTGTTTGGTAGGTGGATGGATCTTGTGGTTGGCGCTCCCTACTTCTTTGACCGAAAGGAAGAGATTGGCGGTGCTGTCTATATCTACATTAACCAGGCCGGCAAGTGGGGTAGCGTGAAGAGTCTCCGGCTGAATGGGACCAAAGATTCCTTGTTTGGGCTGGCTGTGGCTAACATTGGGGACATCAATCAAGATGGATTTGAAGGTGAGTCTCTCTCCGTGTTGTTTCAGGGTAAAGCCATTCAGTCTCACCGGAGTGGGGGGAGGACCCAAAGCTTTGGTGTTTTGTAACAATCAGAAGCAATTTACTGACAGTTTAAATTCTTTTGTTTTGTTTTTGCAAACTGTGGAAACTGGCTGAAGGTCTGAGCCCCATAAAACCACTCTTCAAAGCATTGGAGAAAAGTCCAAAAACCTGTGATCAAGTTTAAAAAGTTGCTGAAGCAAGCGCGTTCTAAAATAAGCATTTTTCATTTTCTTGGCATGCTTTCATTTATTAGTCACAGCATTGAGTCGTTTGGTGGTACAGAACTTGAGAGTTTATGAAAAAAAGACACATTTTGTTGAAGATTTTTATCTTGTGCTCATCAGAGCAATTTGCAAGAACAGCACGTTAAGAGGAAAAGTAATGTTTTGGCTGTATGAGAGGAGAGTGCTGATTGGGTGACAAGTGGACTCTGGTAACGGCATGCTATGGAGAGTGCACCAGTTAGTTATGACTGACAGTTAACTGCCAAGCTTTGTTTAAATTTTAAACAAGCCAGGCTGACTTTGATTGGTCATAGCACTGCCCTGAGAAATGAACCAGAGAATGGTTGCCAGAGGTGCCATAAACTTGGAAGCCTATCTCATCTGCAGATGGTTTGTAAAATGCGGCCATTGTTAGAATAGATAACAGCAAAAAAATGCAAACGTTTTGAACAAGTAAAAAAGTACAACACTGGAACAGGCCCTTCGGCCCTCCAAGCCTGTGCCGACCATCATGCCCTAATTAATCTAAAACCAAACCTGTCATTTTTCGATCCATATCCCTCCATTCCCTCCCTATTCATGTAACCATCCAGACGCCTCTTAAATGTAGCCAATGTGCCCGCTTCCACCACCTCCTCTGGTAGTGCATTCCAGGCTCCTATCACTCTCTGCATGAAAAACTTTCCTTGCGCATCTCCCTTAAACTTTCCCCCTCTGACCTTGAGCCTGTGTCCCTTTGTAATTGAAACTTTAACCCTGGGAACAAGCCTCTGACTACCCACCCTATCTATGCCTCTCATAATGTTGTAGACCTCTATCAGGTCTCCTCTCAGCCGCCGTCTTTCCAGTGAAAACAATCCTAGTCTTTTTAACCTTTCGTCACAGCCAATGCCCTGGAGACCAGGCAACATCCTGGTGAACCTTCTCTGTACTCTCTCCAAAGCTTCCACATTCTTCTGGTAGTGCAGTGACCAAAACTGCACACAATATGCCAAATGCAGCCTAACAAGGGTTTTATATAGCTGCAACATGGTTTGTCAACTCTTGTACTCCCCGCCCCTGGAGATGAAGGCAAGCATGCCATATGCCTTCTTAATCACCTTGGCCACCTGTGTTGCTACTTTTAGGGAACTGTGGACCTGTATGCCCAGTTCTGTCTGAATGTTAATGTTCCTGAGGGTTCTGCCATTAACAGTATAATTCACACCTAAATTTGATCCTCCAAAATGCATCACCTCGCTTTTTTCCAGATTAAACTCCAGCTGCTATTTCTGTGCCCAAGTTGCCAATCTATCTCATCTTGTTGTATCCTTTCACAATCGTTGGCACTATCAACAACTCCACCAATCTTCGGGTCATCAGCAAACTTGCTTATCAGACCACCCACATTTTCCGCCAGATCATTTATATATACTACAAACAACAAAGGACCTAAGACTGATCCCTGTGGAACACCACTAGTTACTGGTCTCCATTCTGAAAAACACCCTTCCATCGCTACCCTCTGTCTTCTATGACCAAGCCAGTTTTCTATCCATCTAGCCAGGCCACCCCGAATCCCATGTGGTTTTAGTTTTTGTACTAATCTGCCATGTGGTACTTTATCAAATGCCTTACTAAAGTCCATATA